GATCTATCATATTTCCAAAGCTCCCCAGGTATTTCTGATGAGCAGTAGCACATTTGGGAATTCCTGTTCTCTTCCACATTAACTGTGTTACCGGAGAAGTTCAGATGTGCAGATAAGGGAGTGTACATGGCACCATGCTGAAGTATGGTGGGGCCTGATTCCACGACTTAACCCAGAGGATAGGCTGTTCTGTTGGCTTCCAGGCACCTTTGGGACATGCTCTTCTACTGCCAGAGAGAACGCCTTTTGTTTTGGACCAGGAGCATTAGAGTGGTTCATTTTCCCTCCAATTGACTGCTGATTCAAGGGTATTGTGCTATCTGATCATCCTAGTATCTGATTCAGCAGGGCCCAGCCTGTAGGATCCTGAGCGGGAGTCCTTCTCACAGGTTGCCCCGGCACCTCACGGGCCTCACCAATGTGATCCTGATCTTTCACAGACACTAGATTCTCAAATCCAGGAATCTGGGCCTTTCCTCTTGGCCTGACGATCAAGGTGGGGTCCTCTGTAAAGAGGCCTAGGCCTGACTCTAAATGCCCCAGGTTTTGGCTCCACGGCATTTGAGGTAACTGATCTGAAGGTTTTGGCTAAATGTGTCCAATGAATTATCTATGTTCCTGTATCTATAAGATAAAGTCCAATACTAGCAATTTTTTTTTTCCAATGAGAAGGATGCTAACTTTAAAGAGTAATAATCTCTATGTCTTTTTTATCTTCTTCAGTGTGAAAAATCCCAGTTTCACTTAGTAATTTCCTGACCTGGTAGCAATGAATCCACCTTGATGGCTGGGGTTCAGGTTCTTCTAATTCAGAATTTCCCTCTATTTGCTGTCATCTTTAACCTCTCAAATTGTGACCCGCTTAGTTCTTGACATTATTTGTGTTAATAATTTAAAAATAATAACCATAATAATCATAATCATAATGAAATAATGACAATAGCAACTATAGTTACTATGTTTTAGGTACCACTCTAATGCTTTCCCCTATTATCTCTTCTGTCTCAAAACCATTGCCAAGTAGGTATTCTGATCCCCATTTTAAAATGAGGAAACCAGTACTCAGAGACACTAAGAAATGTCCCCAAGGTCACCTTTAGCATAAATAGTGAAGCCAATATTTCTATCCAAGTCTGACCTACTGAAGAGACTGTACTTTCAGTCACTATACTCAAGTGCCTTCCACAGCTCGTTTTCTCTAGATCTAACACATGACGGCCAAGATCAAGGATTTCCACATCAGAGGCCTAATTTTATATTCCAGTTCTGCCAATTTCTAGTTGAGTAACTCGGGCCTGATTATTTAATCTCTTCTATTATAAAATGAGGATAACAATGCCTTCTCATGGGGTTCAGGTAAGGATTAGATAAGAAAATGCACAGTGCCTAGCACATAGTCAGTGTTCAATTACCAGCAGCTATAACTGCTACATTTCTGCTGGTTTCCTTATACTTTTTATACCATACAAAATGCCTACTCCTTTCTCTTGCAGGTTGTATTCCCACTGCACACCAATTTCAAGTTCTGGAATTTATTCTGTTCTGACTTGTATACAATAACAGGGCAGTCTCAGAGCAATAACAGGAAAACAAAACTAATTTGAGAAACAGCATCCCCCCCAAAAAACACTCAGAGGATACGACAAGTGTGGCATCCTTCCTGGATCTCTTATTTTCTCTACCTTCAGTTTTTTAAAGGGGTCGTTTCTCTCCTGGTGACAATATCAGCTGCTTCCCTATGATAGACAAAGAACTGATATCTCTGCCAAATACAAAGGACTCCCCCCGTCTCAGTGACCACTGCTGCTGCTTGTCACACCTGCTTTATCTCCTTCACCCAAACTGGTGTGACTCCAAAATTTATAGCCAGAAGCCTCAGCTATCTGGCTCTGCATGTGGGCTTCCTGGTAAGAGGTCTTGGAACAATCTATCTTGGCTGCCACATGGTGGTACCCATCTGTGGGTACCGTTTTTTCATCTCTGCCCTTCTTGTCCTAAAGCTTCATCTATCACTTTCACTAGAACACCATGTACTTAAAGGCATTCTTTCCCGTTGTGTCTCCTGGGATCATCTTAGGTTGTGTTTGTGGCTACAGTACTGGACTCAAAAGAACATAACCTGGTCAGGGGATGCACCGCTAGGTTTTCATTTAATTAAGGGGAAAAAGCGAAACCCAGCAGTCCAGTCATTGTTTAATGAAGGGGGTTTTCAGACCTCAATCTGGCAACCAGTAGAGCATGCAAACTAAACTCCTTTCCCTGAACAGATTTATGGTGCCAAAGCACCACCTACATTCTAGACACAGCTGTTCACCTGACCAGAGGCAACCTGAGAAAGAAAAAAACTGGGTTTTTGCTTTGTTTCCATCTGATCTCTTCTCTCACCCTTAGTTCCTGTTTTTACAAATCTGGATCATTACCAAAGAAGACAACATTCAGAAGGTAATAAGGAACTGACTGGTGTCATAAACAAGTAACAAAGCAGAAGGGAAAGTAAGGAATTGGTATTTTCCAGCTAGAGTGGGGGAGGAGGACGAGAGTGGAAAGAAGATGGGGAAGCAGTCCTAACAGGTCTTACAGAATCCGCAAGCTGGATTAGGGAAGCCGACCTCCACAGGCTGCATTGGTCTCTTCACTTCCCTCATTTCACCCCTCAACATGGGCAACACATCACCCCTGTCTGGGTTTGGCTGCTCTAGGCATTTCTTTCTGGTAAAAGGTGTGTTGGTCACTTTCCAGCCAGGAGCTTCAGGCAGAGGGTAGTGGCCCATAGGCTGGAGTGATGGTTTCACAGAGCATGGTTCGCTTGGTAATTCTGTAACCTGCTGGCCTCTGCCAATTTACAAGTCAGAATCTCTGGGGGAAGTCAGAGAATTCTTGTATGCAATAACATGTAAGAATTAAAACATACTGAGACTCAATAATCTAGGCAAATTTTCAAGTATCCATTTTGTGCAGAATAACAACTCCCTAAAGATGTTTGTGTCTTAATTCCTAGAATATGTTAGGTTACAGGGCAAAAGAGAATTCAGGTCGCAGATGGAATTAAAGTTGCTAATCAACTGGCCTTAAAATGGGGAGATTATCCTGGATTATCCAGGTGGCCCAAATGTCATCGTAAGAGTCCTTTTAGAAGACAGAGGTAGAAAACAAGAGTCAGAGAAGGAAACATGACCATGGAGATTATGTGATGTGAGAAGGATTCAGGCTGCCTTTGTAGGCTTTGAAGCTGGAGAAAGGGACCATGAGCCAAGGAACGTGAAGAGCCTCTAGGCACTGCAAGAGGCAAGAAAAGAGATTCTCCCTTAGAGCCTCCAGAAGTACCACAACCCTACTGGCCCTTGATTTCAGCCCAGGGAGACCCATGTCAGACTTCTGACCTGCAGAATTGTGAAATAAAATGTGCGCTGTTTTAAGACACTAAGTTTGTGGCAATTTGTTATAGCAGCAAGAGAAAACTAATATAAACAGGTTACTGCAGATAAATGACTGCATTCAATGGCATCAATAGATATGATATAAAAAATGCACACACACAGAATGTTTCTGAAAGGCATAAAGTTTAAGAGACTGAAGGCCCGTTATCCACCCTCCTCCATCCTGCTCTGTGCCCTGTTAGGCAGACCTCTACGGGCTAAACTACCCAACTCCACTCGGCTCCCAGTTGGGCTCTACCCATGGGAGGCACCAGCAAGAGACTGGAGGGTGCTCAGGCTCCAGTGCTGACCTTGCACTTGTATGACCCTCAGGGTGAGCGTCTCCTTACATCGGACGCTCTAGGCATCTCGCTTGCCTCACCCCAACAGGAACAATGACGAAGAAAGAAGAAGCCCTCTCTAGGGTCCAAGAAACCCTTCTAGAGAAGACGACAGGCTGACGGCTACTGTGAGCCCAACCACAAAGGATCTGGAATTCTTCACCATTTCTGACATGCCCCAACCTGACCACACCCCACCACAGGCTGCTCTGGGGTGAACTATGTCAAGAGGCCATGTAGTTGAGAAAGCAGGAAAGAAACGTCAAGAAAATATAACTCAATAGTACCAAGAGAAACAATGTAACTTGAAAACAACCCTGGATTAAGCAATTTACTCAGTTACTATAGATGCAACCCAGCTATATGCAAATCAATGCAAATATAAATAACACCCTCCATAGGGATAGCTTTTTCTTTGCTTTCTCTAGCCTCTAAAACAAATCCAATTTGGAGGATGAAAATAGAAAATTACTCTGCAGTGGAATAAGATTTGTTTATGCATCTCAGCACTTCTACCAATACCCGCAACAGCACCCCTAAGCTACAAGTGTCTTGTTCATACAGAAGAAGGCATGATTTAGAGGTGAACTATATAAGATTGGTGAAGTAGAAAAGCATGCCCACCTCTGTCTGTAGAGATTTAGGAAAGTGATGGCCTTTCCTGCCAGTAAGCCTTTCTACATCAGCAATCCTCCCACTCTTCTTCTGAGTGTCTGAGTTCAGTTCTGTCTCCTCTGTGGCCCCACAGCACAGAATATGCTCAATAAGTGGGTACTGAGTACATGAAGGAGTCCACAGACAGGGCAGTCATACAAGGCCACCGCTGACTAGATATAAACATACTTTGCCATGCATTACCTGTTAACTTCAGGAATCTCCCTACTTCTTATCCCCCTTGGGTACCCCCCACCCATTCCCGCCCTAAGTATTTTTAAAACAAAAATACAAAACAATAGGAAGAAGACTGTGGCAGGAAGAAGGTGGTAGTATTAACACTCCAAATAAGGTTGCAAGAAATTTAGAAGCTGGACACTTCCCACTCCCGCCAAAAACATTTGTTTCCTGCCCATAAATAGGAACACCATGCAGATATGCTTATTTTTAGAAAAAAACAAAAAATCTTATTTTTAGAAAAAATCTACGAAATTTTTTTTAAAGACTTGTAGGTCAGTAGGCTAACATTTCTACCCTCAAACGGCAAGCCAGCTCTTGAACACTGGTGTTCTTTCTGTTGGGCATCTACCTGAGCCGGGAAGAACCAGAAGAAGAGGTTGCTGTTGTAAGTCTTATTCACGGTGAGGAAGCCGGTATAACTCTTCACGTTCAGTCCTAGGAAAGGACTGACCAAACTCAATTCTTTTCCTAGTGGGAGGGAAAAAAAAAATTTACCCAAGGATTACAGAAAACAACAACAACAACAACAACAATGTGAGCCATCTATCTCAGTCTGGATGAAATGAAGTGATTAGATAAGCTAAAAGGGGATTGGTATGAAAGGTAGTTCCTTCAACAAATTCCAGCCTGCCCCTGGCCAATCCCACATAGTCCACATTCACAATTTAGAAAGTTTTAAGTCTTTGGGGAGGGGTGACCAAATATATTTTACAAGCTGTGATAAGGTTGTTTTTAAAGTTCTTTTAAAAAGAAGAAAAGAAAATCTCCTATCATCACACCTTGCATAAACCAAGGTGTTCACCCTGGGCCACATGGAAAGGAGCAGGATAAAGTAAACTGACCTGAAACAGTGGTGTGCAAGAGTAACAATGTGGTGAAGCAGCTCTCGGCCTCACCCCAAGGAGGCTGGTGTCCTTCACGATCTTGTTTTCATGAAGGCAAAAAGGCTGTCACATCTACTAAGAGGAGTGGGTCGAGGCATATGGGAGTGTGGGCGGCTGTGGACAGTGGGGAGACTGGGGGTGACCTCATGGCTACTCAGGGGGAACCAAACAGGACAATGGGACAGTTGTGGAGGCCAGGGGTCCTCGCTTTTTTATGGCACCATTGGGATAGGCACAGGGAAGGAGTAATTGGGGATGCTTAGATGGCCAAGGATGCCCAGGAGTAAAGAATGCTACTAGGAGCTGACATTTACAAGGCCACATTACCAGGGCTTTTACATGATGTGGGAAGTATAATTCTCATTCCCACTTTAAAGATAAGAAAGCTGAAGCACAGAGAGGTTAAGTGACTTGCCTGAGGTCACACAGGTAGTAGAGGAGAGGCTGGGATTAAACCGAGCAGTCAGGCTACAGAGTTTGTTCCTTCCTCCAGGGCTTTCAACTAGAGTGAGTCAGAAGGTGCAGGTGGCAGGGAGTGGGAAAGGAAGTAGTGGTCAGGAAGGGAGTGGCAAAGGAACAGAAAACAGCAGAACGTGGTGGGGAAGTAAAAGGGAAAATTTGGGCAAAGGAGAAGAATCCTTTAGTGGTGACAAAGAATGTGTCCCCAGTAGGAACTAATCACGCAAGAAAAGCGATGTAGGTCTGAGCCATATTAAGTTGGAGACCGGTTAGTAGCTTAGGAAGCTTGACTCCTCACATGCCATCAACTAAAGATGCCTTTGGTGGTAGGTGGAGTCCTTAGACTCTGGAGGGCTAATTGTTAGCATCTCTTCCCAGCTCAGCATTCAGAGACAACATTGATAGGATAAAATAAGCCAAGGTGACAATATTTACACTCAAGGGAATAGATGCTGTAAGTCAGGGTCCTGACTGCAAGGGCTGGTTGCTAAACTTTCACCAGCACACTGCTGTTTTGGAACCACTAGCTCCTCTTTTAAAAGAGGCATGCCTCTTAGCCGAGCACGGTGGCAGTGCTTGTAGTCCCAGCAACTCGGGAGGCTGAGGTGGGAGGATCACTTGAGCCCAGGAGGTCAAGTGATCATGCCACTGTACTCCAGCCTGGATGACACAGCAAGACCCTGTCTCAAACACAAACATATATATAGGCATGCCTCTCAAAAGGAAAACCTCTCATCTAGACCACACGGTTCCTTTGCTGATCCTAGCACTCCTATCGACCAGCTGGTGACCCTCTGTATTTAACTTCCCTGTACTTCGGTTTCTCCTCTGTGGAAGATGGACTGCCCGTGGGCCACCTGGATTAAAAGAGCCCCACATGTAAAACCTATAGAAAGAAGCTGGCAGGTAGGGAGCAGAATTACTGTTGCTATCTGTGAAATGCACCTGCTGATTAGGAACAGGGAGCACCTCTGAGCAGAGGAGGTCGTGGGGACAAAGGAAAGGTCTCAATAGGTGGTCCTTGAGGGTCCTGTTAGGCCAACACAATAGGAAAGCATGGGTTTCCTAGCCTGACAGACCTGGGTTTGGAATCCTAACTAGATTAGGACTCCGCAGCAAGTTGCTCCATCTCTCTGAGCCTCTTTCCTTTTATGCAAAATATAAATACTGATTCTGCTACCCCGGGCTTTCTGTGAGGATCAAACAACAAAAATGCATACGAACCCTTAGCCTAGCACTACATATAAAATAAGGGTTCAGTCAATTGGAAGGGAAGGTTATAATTAGCCTTTGGCCACTCCAAGTGAAGTCTAGAAGAATTTCCCTTTTCTGGCTCAGTCTGGTGCTCCCAGGGAAGTTTGCTTAATGCAACCTCTGTAGGTCTTCCCATTCTGTTCCCAGTGAGGTCTATCCCTCCTCCATCAGAAAAAAAGCCAAAGAAAAAGAGAGAGAGGGGAGGATCTTAAGAGAGAGAAAAGGGAGGTGTTCGGGGGAAAGTAGTTTTTGCCGCTCCTCCCCTCCCACTCTTCCTACCATCTGTCTTTTTTCTTCTCCCCTTCTTCACTTCCACTCTTAATTAGCCCACAGAAAGATCACCCCCCAGGGCTGGGCAGCCTTTAAAATGCTTTTGAAATATTTTTAGCAGAACTATTAATCTTCTCAAAATCAAACAGAGATACTAGCCCCCTCCCCACCCCCCGCAAAAAAGGAGAGGAGAGAAGTAAAAACTGTGGATCGGAAATGAGTGAGATGTGGACCACAGAGAAGTAAATGGGAAGAAGAGGATTTGAGAAAGAAGACAGAAAAAAATGAGAAAGGTCAAAGTATAATGAGAAAAAGAGAAAATATATAATAGAAAGGAGCTGGAGGGAATGGAACAGAGGAGAGGATGATTGAATCCATCTCTCTCTCCCAAGACCAGCACCCCACAGGGTCCACAGACTGCTCTCAAATGATTCAGATGTTCACTCATCCCTCCCTTCCCGAGGATGCCAAAGTAGCTTCCCTGCTACCTTGTACTTGAGTATATGTCAGACTTTCCCTCCTAGGTCAGGAGGTTGGGAAGTGGGGAATTTGTCTTATTTAACTTTGCATACCTTGGGACTTGGCATGCCGATTTACATACCTAAGACATTCAATAAATACTTTGTAATGAATGAATGTTAACAAATGAATGGATGAACGAGTCAACAAATGAATGAACTAAAACAAGCCCCACTGCCAATGCACTCAAACTAGCTCATTTCTACAAAAACCTCCTAAGGCAGACCTTGTTAAGAGATCTAAAGAAATTTAGGACTTTTCTCTAGCCCATAAAAAAGGTTCTGCCCTGTTTCAAATTTTAAATTTCCACTAACTAAATTCCAGTAAAATAATAAAAAATTTCATCAACTAAAATGACTTTTTATATTTTCAAATGTCTTGTGCATCCTATTAATGTAATGCGGAAAACAAACTCTGGAGGAGTTTCTATCTTTCCAGCACCATGACTCATGTTCAGAACAGTTTTAAAAAGGAAAAGCTTCTCTTTGAAGTGATTTTACTTCCTCCTTGCTTTTTACTGCTGCTACCAGTGTTTGTGATATTAACACTTTCAAAAACATTGGAGTGTGACCAACAAAGGGCTTGAACCAGCTAATCAGCATGCATGTCAGATTCACAAACACTCAAGTTATCAGCAGTGTGGACACACAATACCAGATCATAAGTAACAACAAATTAGGACCTACTAGTAAAATAGTCTTTAAAGTGTGAAAATGCAGTGTTTATAAACAAGCTAAAATGTGCCTCCTACATTCAATTTGTTTCAGGGAGTAAAGATTTATTCTAGCTTCAGAGAAAGTAAACATGCAATTACAATTACACAAAACTAAACCAGTTAATTGGGGATTTAAAAAATAAAAATTTCCCTTGTTTTTTTTTTGTGAGCTACTGTTTATCTCGAAAATGTTCCATTGCAATAATAAGACTCACATTCCTAGGGTTTTGACAGACTCGATAAACAAAAGGGATTTAGGGGAGTGAGCTGACCATCTGTCCAGAGCTTCCTGAACTTTCAGCAAAGCGGATGAATAAAATTATCCTTAATTACGTTGTCAGGGCTACATTTGAATACCCAGATGTAACAGATTTTGAATCAGCCACTTAAAATTCTGTTCAAAGAATTTGACTGTGTAGCGTAACTTCACGAAGTGATATTATACTCAGATTTACTATTTTAAATGTTGTCAATCATCAGATGAAGATCTACCAATCTTGACATAGAGGGTGGAAGATAAAACTACTTCCCTTGGAATCTTTCTCCACTGCTACTAGTACCCATAACTGAGGAATGCTTATAGGCAAGAAAGACAGGAACAGAAGGGATGTCAACAGTCTCTCAGACGGATTTCTCTGTATTCTTTTTACTTGGTTCCACCAGATGTATGATACAGATACACCACGGTCACTTTCACTTAATGCCTTTGTTTAAGCTGCTTCTCTCCCTTGGTATGCACAGACCTTTCGCTATTTACATAAATCTTACCCAACACTCTGAAGTCCACAGCTGGTCATACAGCATAGTGGTTCATACCATGGGGTCCGGGGTTGGCCAGTATAGGGTTTAATTCAGAGCTGCTCATATAGCATAGTGGTTCATACCATGGGCCCTGGAGTTAGCCAGTACAGGTTTTAATTCCAGCTCTGCCACTTACTAGTTTTATGGCCCTAGGCAAGATACTTGATTTCTCTGGGCCTCAGTGTTCTCATTTGTAAAATGGGAACAATGCTTATGGATTTTTCATTAGGGTTGTTCTGAGAACTAAATGAGCTAATGGATGTAAAGCACAATGCCTAGCACATGGTTGTTACCCAAATTTAAATTCCATACATATTTATACATACATGTATAGGTACTATGCTAGGTACTAGGGATATAATGACTAAATGTTAGCTACTTATTATTTTTACTACAACTACTACAGCTCTAGTATTTTCTCCCTAGATTATGCCAACCAACAGGCATAGGTTCCTTCTCCGAATCTCCAGTGCACTTACTTCAAATGTAATACTTTAGTACGTTAGTATGCACTACCCAATTCCTTAATTGTTTTGTGTGTATGCATCCGGTCACTTTAGAAGAACACTTTAGAAGCTTGTGAAACAAACAGAACTAAATTATAGTAGGCAAATCACAGAGTAGAAGTCAGAAGATTTGGGTCCTAAACCCATCTCTGCTACCCAACTCTATTGCACACATCCCGTTGGGCAACTGGGGTAAAGTATTTCAGTCTCAATTTCCTCATATGTGGATTGGTAGAATTTGGTTATAACAATTACTTAACTCCTTTTCAACCCTACAATAAATGATTTGCTTTGATTTACTGTTAATGAACATAAATCTAAGCCATCAGAATCCACTTGTTGAGGAAGCTGAAATACGTGCATGTAATCCAATTTGGAGGGTTTGAGTCAATGATACTTTGCCTTTTCACATGCATCTTAATAGTATCAGCCATACAGTGGGGCAGCCATCTTCCCATGACTTCTCTATGCGAGGTAAAAATCAGTCCTTTTTAAAATACACTAAATACATTATCAAAGTTTTTCATCTTTCCTTAGAAAAGAGATGGTGAAACTTGAAGCTAATGTGTATTTCAGAAAAAGACATATGAACAGCACTTACACATACCCTTAAAATGTAAGAATGTCTTCGTGTAAAACGAAAACCAAAAAACAATGACATCCTATTGGCTGTGAGAATACTTCGAATGAATAAAATTTGCTTTATTTTAAACTTCTTTGTAGAGTATTTAGATTTGCTTTTGACCTTTAAAATGACCATTTGTGTAAAATTTCCAGTGTTCTTCTTCATTCCCATCACATCTGCCAAGCTGCCAGCTTCACAGGCACCATCTCTGCCTTTCTACCTGTGACAAGGGACAAACTTGGGGCTCCTGTGTGCCAGATCCCAGGGGTCTCTCACCTTCTTAAACACAGTCTCCAACAATGGTTCCCCAAACCAAACCAACTCCCCACTCATCATTTCCATCAGCAAACAAACATTCTCTCCTATTCTGTTGAAGACCCCTTCTGGACCCCAGCGCTCCCTCCAGCCACTACGCCATTTCTCTGCTGCTCTTTGCAAATATCTCCTCAGAATAGCTGTCTACTATTTTACAGCCCAGGAACCTACTGAAGTCCAGAAAGTTGAAATCATTTACCTGCACAATGATTAAGCACAAAGAAGCATTAAGAGCAGATAGATACAGGGCCAGAGGCGGTGGTTCATGCCCATAATTCCAGCACTTTGGGAGGCTGAGGCAGGCGGATGACTTGAGGTTAGGAGTTCGAGACAAGCTTGGCCAACAAGGCGAAACCCCATCTCTACTAAAAATATAAAAATTAGCCGAGCGTAGTAGCGCATGCCTGTAATTCCAGCTACTCAGGAGGCTGAGGCAAGAGAATTGCTTGAACCCAGGAGGCAGAGGGTGCAGTGAGCCGAGGCTGCGCCACTGTACTCCAGCCTGGCAACAGAACAAGATTCCGTCTCAAAAAAAAAAAAGCAGATGCAGGTCATAAATTTTAGTCTCTGATAACACTAAGTGATATATATTTTCCTATTAGTAATAACAATAGAAAAACCCACAATCTCTAAATAAAGCCATTTGCAAACACTCATATTTGGAGAACAATTTATAGAGTACAAAAAATTTTCATGTGCCTTATCTCGTTGGATTTTCATAATATCTCTGCAAGTTGGTAAGTTGTTAAATCTCCATCTTATCTTAATGAGAAAACTAAGGCCTAGACTTGCTGGAAAAGGGGGCACAGCAGGGAGGCTGCAGTGAGGCTGAGTATGGAGCCTACACACCAGCTGGTATCTGCGTGAACTCTGGCTAGTAGCTCAATCTCTTTCTGTGTTGGTTTCACATGTATAAAATGGGTCCACCTCCCTGGGACGTTGACATGTTTAAATAAGTTCATGCAGAAAGCTTGGAACCAGTGATTGACCCATAGTAAGTTTTAAGGATAGTATTAGCATTAAGTGCTCACTGGAGGACAGGCACTCTACTAGTCTTATAAATAAAATGCTGCAACTCAACCATGCAGGTAATTCAGCGCTGGCTAATTCTCATTTTAGCTAAAAACTCAGATAACATATGACATCAAGTCATTAATATTTGAAATAGGCCAGGTGCGGTGGCTCATGCCTGTAATCCCAGCACTTCTGAAGGCTGAGGAGGGCGGATCACCAAAGGTTAGGAGTTCAAAACTAGCCTGGCCAACATGGTGAAACCCCGTCTCTACTAAAAATATAAAAATTAGCCAGGTGTGGTGGTAGGCACCTGTAATCCCAGCAACTCAGGAGGCTAAGGCAGGAGAATCACTTGAGCCCAGGAGGCAGAGGTTGCAGTAAGCAGAGGATGCACCACTGCACTCCAGCCTGGATGAGAAAGACTCTGTCTCAAACAAACAAACAAACATATATATTTGAAATAAAACAACTGAGTAAAAATACTGAAATACATTTTGCATCCTATGGGTTGTTTTAAGAAAAACTATTGGCCAGGTGCAGTGGCTCATAACTATAATCCCAGCACTTTGGAAGGCCGAGGTGGGCGAATCATGAGGTCAAGAGATCGAGACCATCCTGGCCAATATGGTGAAACCCCACCTCTACTAAAAATACAAAAATTAGTTGGGCATGGTAGCGTGCGTCTACAATCCCAGCTACTTGGGAGGCTGAGGCAGGAGAATTGCTTGAACCTGGGAGGCAGAGGGTGCAGTGAGCCGAGATCGCACCACTGCCCTCCAGCCTAGTGACAGAGTGAGACTTCGTCTCAAAAAAAAAAAAAAGAAAAAAGAAAAAGAAAAACTGTTGAATTCATGCCAGTGGTTCTCTGATTTAATTAAACTTACTTACCTTTTTGGATCTTCCCAGCTTCAATGTAAGGGGTGAGAAACAATGGCTGTCCTGAGTCTCCCTTAGGTGGCATGGAAACACTTCTGTATAGGGAGTGAAACAGCCCATCACAGGGGCCAGGCGTCAACAGGACCAGCGAAACAATCACCTTCCACATGGCACCAACCATCTCTCAGGGTCTAGGATAAAAACAGCATTCCAAAAATGAATCAAAAGAGTAAATATTTACCTGGCCCTTTTACATGCAAGAAATTCATTTATTCACTTAAAAACATTATTGTGTGTAAAGGCCCTCTGCAAGGACCTTGGATAGCACCATAAATAAGCACACCCAATCCCTGCTCACCCTTAAATTCACAGGCTAATGGGAGATTCTTCAAGGGATTTACAATGTCAGTAATTCTTAAATTACTGATTTTTTTTTTTTTTTTTTTTTTTTTTAAAAAGTCTTGCTCTGTTGCTCAAGCTAGAGTGCAGTAGCACAATCGTGGCTCACTGCTGCCTTGACCTCCTGGGCTCAAGCAATCCTCCCACCTCAGCCTCCCAAAGTGCTGGGATTATAGGAGTGAATCACTGACATTTTCTAAAATGCAGTTTGGAAAGTAAATTCAATGGAGGATTAGATAAAGCCTCAGAACAACAAGAACTCTGTAACTGACCATGAATGGGTGGTAGAAATCACTGTGTCACCACAGAAGGGCAGAGGATTGAGAGCACATTTCAGGTCGAAAGATCATAGAAAGGCCTTACCCAAGTTGGATGTGGACAAAAGGTGAATGGTTCTCAGACAGGTGGGAGAAATGGGAAAGGCATCACCGGTGGGTGGAAACAGCTTAAGCAAAGGTGAGACCTCAGGCATCCATGCACACCTTGCAGGGAAATTTCAAAGAAGCAATGGATTTCTGCTTATGTTCTCTATCTCTTATAAGCCCCCAGTTTGTATCAAAGAACAACAATAACAAAAACAGGAAGGAAGAAAGAAAGGGGGAGGGGGTCCTACAACTACCCTTAGGTCCCTCCCCTTATTGCTAGCTGATAAGTAAAGGCATTAGGCCCCAAACCATTAGCACAAAGCTTTCCAAAGATCTTCAAATCTGATGTTTGCTTAGAATATTCATCTGAGATGATAATAGTAATGGCATAAAATTGTATAATGATTTACTTGTACATCAATATGTAAATTATACACATAGTGGGCTTTCCCATGTGTTTGTAGCTGATTTGAATCTCCTAATTTCACCAGTGTTAGAAAAAAATGAATGGTATTTGTTAAAGCACGGAGACAAAGACTTTATTAGGATAATGATAGGCACAGGGACCTTGCAGTCAACAGAGTCTTGTAGCAAGGGAGAGAGATTGGGCTCAACTCCAAATGCAGCACAGGCCAGGGGGAATTTATAGCTAAGGAGCAGTGTGGGGGTCAGTGAATGGAAAATTACTCAAAGGAAGCCTTGGGGTAAGGTGGATCTGGCTAAACCTAATAGGATTCTCACTGAAGACAGGCCAGGGTGATTAGACATCACCTGGGGGATGGTGCAGGATGAGAAACCTGGTCAAATGTTGAGGTGATCGGATGTTGATGTTGGTGGTTCTTGGTAAAACGACTTACCAGTGTCCTTTGCTAAAACTGGATTTTACAAGGAAGTGCACAAATGGGCCAAGCAGAAGATTCAGAAGCCTGACTAAAATTTGGCCAAGGAAAAAATCCGTCACCAGGAGAGTGAGGATTATTATCACCAAATTCAGATAAGGAAAACTTGAATCAAAAGAGTGTCTCATGCAAGGACATGAAAGTAGAGAAACCAGGACTTGACCCCACTCAAGGCCAGGACTAGGGAGAAATGAGGGAGGTACGGATGCAGGGTCAGAGCTCATCTTGAATTAAAATGTGGACCATTTTTGTTATCATTAATTTTTCTCTGTATTATACAGTTTTTTTAACTATTACCTTAAAATATTACTGATCTTCAGGTTTTTTTTGACACTTTATTAAGTTTTACACCTGAGGCAGTGCCTCTCTTGTCTCACTCTAATCCTGACCTTGCAAAGTAGGGAATTACGACAAGCACACCAGGGCCGTTACATGACTCTGCACTCCTGCTATTTAAGCATGATCTATGTTCTTAGCTGTAAATTCTAAATCAAATACACGAAATGAATGAGTACTCCACACACATTTCTGGATGCAAAAAGAGATACATACTTATGCAAATACAATGCCTGCTTTGGTTCAGTGCTTTAAAATGCCAAGCTATTAGAACATCTTAAAAATACAAAATGTGTAAAAATCTTTTAACCACATGCTTATTACAACCCAATTTGGCATAACATGAAAATATTGATTACAGCAAATTTTAAAAGCTTTTCAGGCACATTTCCCCAGTAAGATAAAGGTTTATAATTATAACATGATTGAATATATAACCCTTGTCATGTCTCTCAGGGTTAACTTACTAGAATTCTCCACATTTAATGTAAATAAGGTCAACCAAATCCAGTATGGAGCTAAAAAATGCTTTTGCCTATTACTGACTATAATAAACAACAAAATGAATTTAGGAACTGAAATTAGGTTCCCAAGAAGCCCCAGGGTAATGATCTCTATGGCAATGTTAAAACATTTTTTAAAATTCTGTGAACTTGTTTACACTGATGCTTTTATAGCATAGCTGCTTTCAAGGGATGCCTGAAATCAACAATCTTACTCTCTAACTGGTTCAGAAAAAATAATATATATGCAATATTAAAAAAATAATGGAAGAAGCTCTCCCAGTAGGAGGTTTTTGTTTTGTTTTGTTTTTTTTCCTGGGGACAGAAACAAGAAACCAATCATGCCGTCTAATTTCTCAATCTTCCTGCTGCCAATCCCCAGCCGCCTTTAATGGAAGCCATTAATATTTAAATAACCAGGGTAGTTACAGCACTTCCCTTGTAAGCAGATGTTGACTCAAAGATGTTAAAGAATGAAAAGAGGTAAAACTGGTCCTGTTTTAATTGATATAAATCTAATACATAAAAGTAAGAACTGGGTCAATTTAGTAGATCTCATTAACATTTAATCAAATAACTATGAGTCATGGTTTCCCATGTAGGTGAATTAAAGCGCCGACATATTTCATTTCACAGTTCTCATTCAACAGTCAGAATTCCTGAACTGTGCTTAGCTGTTATGTCTCCTTGTGAGAATGAAAGCTATTATCATAAATGGAGAAGTGGGTTTTTTAAACACCCTCTCATGTATTTTTGCTTATCCTAAATTAGCATGAATCTTTTTATTTATTGAACATTTATTGAGCAATTTCTAAACCAAGAAACCTAATACTAGATAGAGGATATCTCCCACAGAAAGTTGAAAAAGAAAACTGTTAACCCTACACTTTATCATACCTACTTGAAATAATATGAAAACAGTGGTGCTATTTCCAGTTCAAACATATCATATTGAAGAATTCCAACAAAATGTTCTTCTTAATAAATGTTTAGAAACAGAACAAAATCTAGGTAAATACAATATTGACAGAATCAAAGAATCTAAAGGTCAAAAGTATGTAATTTGCTAAAACTGTCTTACTAAACCTTAAATATTAAAGTTGAAAATCATGTGTCCAATGTATAATTTTTGATACGGAACAAAGCTATTTATCCACAGTGTTCTTTAGAATAATAAAAATTGTCAATAAATAAAATTTCCAACAAGACATCAGATAAGTAAGTTACTATACACCAAAAAGGTAAAATTATTATACATACAGCAATTAAAATGATTCTACTAAGAACGTTTTGAAAAATATAATAAAATATTATTAGGTAAAGAAAAGCAGAATATTAGATTGGATATATGGTTTTTTCCTTATTTAATACTTCTTAATAATTTCTAAATCTTCTACAAAAATTTTGTACTCAGAAAAAAATAATTTTGTTGCTTCTTTATAAAAACAAAGTGAAGCAACTGCTAGACATGACAGAAAAAGTGCTTATTCCTTATTCCTTATTACTACCTGGGTATGACCTCTTCTGTTTCCTAGGAATAAGGTTCTATTTGCACTTCTAGAATAGCTTTTTCTTTCTCTAACATTCTGTTAAGATGTGTCCTGATCTCCTAAAGCCACAGAATCCCAGAGACTCACAGTAAATTTTCTCTTCGGTAAATCAGAAGGCTCTGCATAAATGTGAGATGCTATAATAATATTTATTATCATATCTGTAATCCATTCTGCCTGGAGTACAGTTCATAATGAGAGTGCATATAGTTGGTACTACGCAAATATTACTGAATTGATGAAACTAAATAAGGAACTACATTTTAGACTTACAAGATATTAAATGTTCATGTGGTCCAATTCCTGCATCTTCAGATTAGAAAACGTTTACCAGGGAGTAACTGACTTGATCAAGATGACAAGGCCAAGACTCAAAGCCAGAATTTACTTATAGCTCTAAAATCTCATCTGCTTTCTACTCTCCCTTTTTTTTTTTTTCCTTTTTCAGACAGAGTCTCGCTCTGTCACCCAGACTGGAGTGCAGTGGTGCGAACTCAGCTCACTACAACCTCCGCCTCCTGGGTTCAAGGGATTCTCTTGCCTCAGCCCCCCAAGTAGCTGGGATTGCAGGCACCCACCACCACACCCAGCTAATTTTTGCATTTTTAGTAGAGACGGGGTTTCACTACGTTGACCAAGCTGACCTCAGGTTCCTGACCTCAGGTGATCCAACCGCCTCGGCCTCCCAAAGTGCTGGGATTACAGGCGTAAGCCATCGCCCCCGGCCCACTCTCCCACCTTTGTTCCAGATATATTCAAATATTCTGACTCTTACTGTCTCAGTAGATAATAACAGCCTGTAATAGTCCTAAATCCCTTTTATGGATTGTTAAAGGATGTAGTAAAGAAATAAACAAATGAATAAAAAGAAACATTGATAAGTAAATCTATCTAGAGAAGTCTGGTTTTTAGAAACAACACTGTAATAATCCAGGTCCTGCTGTGACTCATCCGACGACCTTGTGTAAGACAGTAACTTCTCTGGGTCCCACCTGATGTGCTAGAGCCAGCGCAAGAGACCTGATGGTTAAATTTGCAGGAATACTGAGAGTCAGTTGTTCAACAGAGCCACCGTTAACAAACTGTCATTGAAGAAGTTACATTTTAAAACATACGTTCAAAGTACTCAAAACTTATCA